GGTTTGGGCGGGACCCGGGGGGGCCGTTGGACTTGGAGGTGCGCGGGTTCGTTGGCCGCGCGTCGGGGAGAGGCCCGGGGCGAACGGAGCTGGGCGTCCGGGCCCCCCGCCATGGAGGGCATGGACGTGGACCTGGACCCCGAGCTCATGCAGAAGTTCAGCTGCCTGGGCACCACCGACAAGGACGTGCTCATCTCCGAGTTCCAGCGGCTCCTCGGTTTCCAGCTCAACCCGGCCGGCTGCGCCTTCTTCCTGGACATGACCAACTGGTGAGCCGGCCCCACGCGGAGCCAGCCCCGAGGGAAGGAACACCCAAGCCCGCTGGCGGGACAGGGCAGGGCAGGGCCCAGGCCGGGAGGTGGCAGGGGAGTCCGGGCCCGACGAACGTGGGGAGAGGGGAGAAGTGGTGTGGTCTGGGGGTGAAAAGCACAGGAAACGAGCTTTGTGGAGTATTTTCCTTTTACATAGGTGTGGAGGAACTGGGGATGACAGGACCGTGAGGGAACTCGAGGGAGTGTGTTAGGTGCAGAGGTCGAACCCGGCACCTAACTCGGGTCGTATGGGTGTCCGTCTGAGGAGAGATAAGGGGAAAACAACTTTTTCGGGGCGGGGGGGGCACACACAAGTGACCGTCAGCTGAGTACGTTGAGAAAGGTGGAGTCGTGCCAGGGAGACGGGAGATCTCATGGAGGACCTGAGTGTCAGACCTGGGGCAAGACCTAGGCAAAGTTCCGAAAGTGAGCCGAGCTTGGGGGCGGGAACCTAGCAGGGGTTGGCTGGCCTTGGGAACTTTGACAAGCCTGCTGAGCGCGGGGAGTAGAGGGAAGACGGGCTTCTTTGACCCAACCACTGGAAAAATGGAGGACGGTAACTTAGGCTGGGGACCAAGTGTTTTGGCTTGTTGGTTTGCACAGACTGAAGCGGGTCAGAAGACTATCGTATGGTACCGACGTGTTTCTTGGCTCTGACAGCAACACTTGCTGTTTCTGATAAGCAAGACTTTGCCCTAGTCTCCAGGTAGGGATTGCTGAGTTCACTCGGGGTGAGGGAGGAACTGGAGACCATTAGACTGCCTTTGAAAAGCTCCCAGGTGAAGCAACTAACTAATCGGGATTTGGGTGAAAAGCAAGGAGCTGAGTGCCCTTTGCCCCGTGTTGGGTATTTGATGTCCTGACTTGTGGAATCTTGTTTCTTTTGGCATTCCTCGGACAAACTCCCGTTTATGCCCATGTCCATCAAATGCCCCAAGCAATACCTGAAAAGACGTTGTAAACTTAGATTTTTATCCCTTTCCTAGCCTAGCCCCCGTCCCCATGATCCCATGATGCTTATGTGTAGATGAGAACCGTGGGTGGACTATGTTTTTGTTACTGGTCTTTAAGAGCCAATCATTACAGCAGGAGTGGGGTTGAATTTTTAGGGTTTAGTAAACTTGGAGGCATTGAATGCAGGATACAGTCTTTAGAGTTAAAAAAGCACTTGCGAGTTCTGCTGTATCTTAAAAAAACTTAGAGGTTTATCTTTATTATTTTTGTAATTATGTGTTAGTATGTGCATGTGTGTGCAGGTTCTTTTGGAGGTCAGAGGCATCAGATACATTTGGGCTGGAGTTAGGGGAATTGTGAGCTGCTAGTAGTGGGTGCTGGGAACTCAACTAAGGCCCTCTGCAAGAGCACTGTGCATTTTTACCTGCCGAGCCATCACCAGCTCCTCCGCTTTTACCTTAGGTCCTGAAGATCTGATGCAAAGATTGTAGTTTGCTTTCTGGGCAGCAGCTAGCTGAGTTTGGATCCACACCTTTAGTTCCTGCACCCTGGAGACAGAGCAGCAAATCTCCATGAATTGAAGCCAGCTTGGTCTACATAGCGAGTTCCAGGACAACCAGTGCACATTGAGACCCTGTCTCAAACAACAAAAAATTGCGACCATCAGTTGATGACTGAAACAGAATGACAGGTCATTGACCAAAGTGAGAGGGATATCTCTCTAGTGTGGCTTCTAAGAGGGCTAGCCTTGTGTTGAGTTCTTTGGCCTGCCTGCTTCCCCACTCCCAGCTCTTTTTCCTTTTTTATTTACACTGGGAAGCTTGGCATGTTGTTGACAGTTTGTTAGGAAAAAAACTTTATTTTCCCCAGTTTCTCTTTATTTTCCCCATTGAAATACTGAAGTAAGTTTTTAGTTCACTCATTAGTTTTGGTTTGTTTGAGACAGAGCCTCCACTGTAGCCCGGGCGAGCCTCAAACATGCGCTGATCCTTAGTCTCTTGAGTGCTGGGATTACAGATGTGAGTTATCAGGTCCAGCTAAGTTTTTAGTGCTGTCAGTGTTTATATTTTATTTTTTGTTGTCAGTATTTATTACTACAGTTATTCTGACTACAAAACCCACTTAGTTAGTTTTATATGCTTGAGGGGTATGTGACATCTAAGATTGTTTTGGGGTTTGTGAAAAGTGAGAAACACGTGAGGCACTGTGGCTACGAAAAAGTAACTTAAGAACCTAACTCCCCTAGCCAGATGGTAGTGGTAACACGTTTAATCCCAGCCCTTAGGGGCAGAGGCAGGCAGAGCTCTGTGAGTTTGAGGCCAGCCTGGTCTATGGAGTGAGTGCCAGGATAGCTTCGAAAAGCCATGCCTCGAGGGAAAGAACTAAAACCCAAAAATCTGGCTTCCAGAAGTTGACCTCTGACCTCCATGCACCTGTGTGCAGTAGTCACACAAAGTAATAATAAAGGTGGTAGTTTTTTTGTTTTTAATAATAGGGTCTCTATTATGTAGTTCTGCTTTTTGTTTTGTTTTTGTTTTTTGTTTTTTTTCCGATACACGTTTTCTCTGTGTAGCCCTGGCTGTTCTGGAATTCAGTTTGTAGACCAGGCTAGCCTCGAACTCACAGAGATCTTCCTGCCACTAGCCTCCCAAGTGTTGGGATTAAAGACTTGCACCGCCATCACCTGGCTGTATTTTTTAATTAAAAATTCAAGTTCTCAAAACCCACCAAACCAAAGACCACATCACCAAACTGCTTACGATCTGTACCCCAAGCCACAGGTGGTTGTGCACACCTTTAATCCCAGCACTTGGGGGACAGAGACAGATCCCTGAGTTCAAGGCATGCATGGTCTACAGAGCCAGTTCCAGGACAACCAAGGCTACCCAGAGAAATTGTCTCCAAAAAAAAAAAAAAAAACCCTAAAAGTCAAAGACTTTATTAGATAGCACATAATATTCTTTAACATTTAACTCTGAGCAGATGGAAGGTGAGAAGCAATGTATCAAGTCCTCAAAATGACATAGGTGTGTGAGGTTTGAAATACAGACAGATGGGAGCAAGAAGTGGAGCTTAGATAATGACTGAAACGGTCACGGTAAACCGTTGTTTTACAGTGAAGATCCCAGGTCTTCTAAATGAAACCTAGACTGAAAAGATTATACTGTTCTCAAAAGTAAGGATTTTTATTGTTGTTGCTATTAAAACACTGACTAATAGAACATTTTGGCCTTACATGTTTATCATTTACCTCTTCCTTCATTCAGACAGGGCCTTCATAGTCTAGGCTGACCTGGAGCCCCTGATCTTTCTGCTTCCACGACCTAGGTGCTGGGATTCAGGTGCATGCCCTTCCTGTCCATGAAATCCTCTTGTGTTTTGAGACAGGGTCTCATTTTGTAGAACTGGGCCTGGTCTACAGATAGAGATTCCCCTTGCCTCTGCCTCCCCCTTGCACCACCTCTCTGAGCTCAAAAAGATTTTTTTTTTAATTACCGTTTTTACAAAGCATTTTTCTAGTACATATTTTAGCTGCCAGCAGTGGTGCTGGGATTGGTAGACCTTCACAAAGGTCTCCAGTGACTGTGCCCGATGTAAATAAACTCAGTGTCCAAAGTCGAACTGCGGACTGGGATGGCTCAATGTCTAGAACAGTTGCCAATCACCCTTGATAGTTTGGGTTCAATATCCAGCGCCGGAAAAGCTAAATGGAATATTTTATTTTTTTTTTAAAGATTTATTTATTTATTTATTATGTGTATAACATTCTGCCTCCATGTCATGTATGCCCACATGCCAGAAGAGGGCGCTAGATCTCATTACAGATGGTTGTGAGCCACCATGTGGTTGCTGGGATTTGAACTCAGGACCTCTGGAAGAGCAGCCAGCGCTCTTAACCACTGAGCCATCTCTCCAGCCTCCCAATGGAATGTTTTATACATGAGTATAATTTCCTACCTATGGAACTTTTTTCAGGCTAGCCACTGGGTTATGAATAAAGAATTTATAAGAAGTCAGGTGTGATGGCACACTTAATCCCAGCACTCAGGAGACAGAGGCAGGCAGATTTCTGTGAGTTCTGTTGGTCTGGGCTAAGTGAGTACTTGTCCTGTATTAAATATATATATATTTATATTTATATATATATATATAAAGGCACATTCACCTCTAAACTCACTTCCCATTGTCTAACACATTCTCTTGTTTTTGTATTCAAGTGAAGTTCTCAGCATCTACCTTTTGTGTTTTTGTTGTTTTTTGTGTTTTGAGACAGGATTTTCGTATGTAGCCCCGTTTGTCTGTCTTAGAACTCTAGACCAGCCTGGCTTCTAACTCACAGGGATCCTCCTGCCTCTGCCTCCTCAGTGCTGGGATTAAAGGTGTGCATCCCACACCTGGCAGCACTGTGTTTTAGAGGACCTTAACTTACAGTCAATCATAGACTGATATGTGTGAACATGTAGTTTTCCCACACTAACAGTTGGGACCATGTTGGGTAGTCTTTTTTTTTTAAATTTATGTAGATGATGCTCTATCTGCATGTACACCTTTATGCCAGAAGGCATCAGATCCCACTATAGATGGTTGTGAGCCACCGTGTGGTTGCTGGAAATTGAACTCGGGACCTCTGGAAGAGCAGCCAGTGCGCTTAACCTCTGAACCATCTCTCCAACTTCCAGTATTGGCTGTTATTAGGTTCATGCTGTCCAGTTTAGTGTTAAAATCTCAAAGGCTATCACCAGGGTCTTTATGAAGCACTGGGTTATTTTTTGGCTCACTGACTGTGTTCTACCGTGGGTATAAGCAGGTATTTTTCTAATCTCTGAGAAGGGTACCCCAGGCTGATCTTGAATTTGCTATGCAGTTTATGGTGACCTTGAAATTTTGATTCTCCTGGCTCTACTGAGGTGCTAGGATTATAGGTGAACAGCCCCACGCCTAGTGTATACTGGGCCAAGACCTCGTGGATGCTGTGTAGTAGTCCCGGTTTGGAACAGATGCTT